GAAAATGACTCTATTTCGATTTCTCTACACTGTTCAAGAAAACATTTTCCAACAGGCTCATTATATACAAGTCAATTGGTAGATCGACTTGTGTACAACCACCTTGCCCATATATGGATTAAAATGCAGCCAGTTACTGCTGAACTGACCAAATCCAATTTGACCTTCGCTCAGGTATGCAGGCAGGAGGGTGTGCTTAGTTGAGAAAACCCCTCCTGAAGACTCCTGGGATGTATAACATTTGCCTAGGCATGGAAACCAGGAAGTAACTGAAGAATTGTAAAAAAAAAACAAAACACAGTTTCAAACCAGTAATTATAATCTACTTTCCTATCCTAAATATAATGTACTTTCCTATCTATTGTCAAATGTTGTCGGCATAAGGATTGAAAATAGTCAATGTTGATTGTGAAAGAAGTTCCACTTTATTAGGTTTTCAGGTCAAAATCACTTGGCTTGATAGATCGCCATTGTACCAATTCTCTTTACAGCAGTACTCAGACTGGAAGGGGGAGGCGCACTGCTAGGAGCCAGGCAGACTGTTCTGCAGTACAGGAAATATGTTGACAGGGGAAAGCAGAATACAGAGATGACTTCCTCATGGTGATGCTATGCTTTCAGTGTCCCGATTAGCAGGCTGGGAGTGTGTTTTACCAGCAGTGGAGGTGAAGGATCTGGATGTGCTCTTTGGCAGAAGATCCTGATAATTAAAGCTGCTGACCTAATAAGCTGATGAGCTAGTCAGTGCAAAGTCAGAACTTCTGATATGCATATGCATTAGAGCCATTGGCTTAAATCTCATTCCGGAAAAACTGGTTATAGCAAATGCAAAAAAAAAAGGTTTGAATAGGAAACTTCTACTAATATTTTATAAGGAATCTCACTGTAGCCGAAAGCACTTTGTAACAATTTACCTTGCATTTTGGTATGGCATGACTTCAATAAAACAAAAAAAAAAAAAACAGGGCTATGTACTTCATTGTGCGATTTTGTTTTTTTTTTTTTTTTATTTATTTTTAATACACTGCAATGAATTGGCCACCCTAAACGTGACATGCAAAAAACACGTGCACAATCGCACCTGCATAAGAGGGAATGAAGCCTAACTGATAAGTATATATAAATATTGAATATCTATAACCTGGCTATACTGTACTGGCCACAGGTAAACTTCAGAGTGATCCTGTAATAAGAAAATGATGGACTGTCCTTGATGACATCTTTAACCACCTGCTGTCCAGGGTAGTTTTTTCATTTTTCACACATTAAAAGTGACACTTTTGCCAGAAAAGAACTTCTAACTCCCAGTCATTCTATATTTTCTGAAAACTGAGGCCCTGGATAATAAAATGGTGGCTGTGGCAATTGTTTATTTTTTTTTTTGTCACTTGACATTTGTGCAGCTGTTTATCAAATGCAAATGTTCAGAAAAAATACATTAAAATGAATTTTACTGCACACACACACACATATATTTTACAAAAAAATTGTGTCCTGTTATAGGATGGAGTTATGTTGAGTAAATAGATACCAAACGTGCATTCCTGTGAAATGGTGACAAACTGTGGTACAAATTTTTCATAGGTGACGCTTTCAAAGCCTTTATAACTTAGAGCAGTTTGACTTTTATTGGTGTCCAGCAGAGCACTGGTTAAAGCTTGTAAGAGGAGTTTTCATTCTCCCCTGATTGTCCTATGAGGCTGCATAACCCCTGTTCCTCTATCTGGACAGTGCTGATTGGCACTGTGCTGATCACATGCACTCTCCAAAGAAAAAAAAAAAAAAACGATCTAGCAATACACACCAAACAGAGCATGTGCAGCTTGCCCCCAAGGGTCTGTTCTATCAGATAGTTTAGGGACAGTAGAAGAAGGGGAGGATCAGAGAAGACAGGGTCAAACATCCTTTTTACACAATGCAGAGGATTAACCCCTTAGGTTCCACAATGCATATAACAAGCATTCTTTACTGCATATACAGACCAATTTTACTGTTGTGAGTTTAGTAAAACTAGCAATTCTGTTGCTCAATTACTGCTTGCTAGTTGTGGGTCTGTGACTTAAAGGCATTGAAGCCATGAATAGCCTGGCAACTAGCATTTTGAAGTGAGGACCAGCAGTGCCAGACCCCATACTTTTTGTCTCGAGGGTCACTTCACTGAGGCTTATCGCATGAGATTGTATTTTACAAAATATCTTGTGATATGTGAAGTGTCAAATGTAGTAATAATTACATTAAAGTCAAAGTAAAAAATAAAAAAACTTGTGGTCTAGTCACTTACTAATTAACAAACGCATTAGAGATGGAACATTAGCAGCGGTATTCCTACCACGGCTAAATGTGACCGTTCTAGCTCAAGGATGCTGGTTGTCAGGGAGCTGGCAGCTGCAGGTGTCCTAACAACAAGTGACTCATCCCTGCCATGCTCATTCAGCTGTTGTCAGGGATTCCTGGCTGACAGGTGACTGTAAATAAAGGAGGCAGGCTAGTGTTTACTTGTACATCTATCTAGTGGGGGTTTCCACACAATCCATGCCAAGGCCCTTCAGGTCTGTTATGAATTTTCAGGAGGACAAATGTCAAAAAAAGATGTCGTGAAGCCGCTCCAACTTCCATACCAGATCTTTACCAGAGCATGCAGCCTGGCTGGCCAGGAAAGGAAGGTGGGACAAACATGCGCTTACCATGCCACATGTCCTCAACATGAGGGGGGGGCTTTGCCATGGAGGGACAACCTTGGCAAAGCCTCTTCAGGCAAAGCAGGCTACCGGACAGTTGGCATCTCAGCTGGAACTGGCATATTTAGCAGTGGTAGGAATAACACAAACTATTCAATTCCTGCTACAGCCGGAGGGCTGGTCTGTGTAAAAATGCATTAAATAATGAAACACAAAAAAAATTGTAATGCATTTGGTATTGCAAACTCTTTTTATTGAATTGCCTGCTCCTGAGATACATACCACAGGAGTGGTTTTAAAGCAACAATGAGTGCAGTACTTACCTTGGTGACTTGACCCTGTAATGTTGTATGCAGACACTTTGCTCCATATTGCATCATTTACATGTTTGAACAGAGCATTTGTTTAGGTGATGGTGTGCTTTCTGTTTGTTGCATTGTATAAATTGTGCTTTTCAGCAGGAATTGGCCATCTTTCCGGCAGTGTGTACAGCTGTCCCCCTGTCAGAATACACAAACGTGGGGGGGGAGATCGCTGCATCAACATCGCTTGTTGTGTTGATGCAGCATTCTGTTCGTTTTTTTCCTTTTCATACAATCTGCTGGTTACCCAGCTTTCCACTTGACAGTTTTTGAACTTTCCATCGCCTTTCAACCATGTTAATTGCTACCCATTGTAGTGTATTTATTTCCCTGAGATCTGCTGGGTCAGATGTTAAATAATTTTTCATCTAGCATTGAGGTCAACTTCTGCAAATTTATTTCCTGCAACCACGGTCCGTGTTGATGGGGAGTCCTTCTCGATGAGCTATTGTTTTCTGCCAGCGGGGGAAGCCTTCCCCACCAGGAGAACACAGTGGTTTCTGCTAGTGACTATAATGGCCACTAGCAATAATTGTATGAAAAATCCAATATGCTGGTTGTACCAAAGTCGTACAGCAATCAACTTGGGTACAATCAGCCTGCCCATAGCTGGTTCAACTCCCAGACGGTCCCTGCTGAAATTTGAAACATCTATGGCCATCTTGATTCTCTGCTATATTTTATTACACATTCAGATCTCCTCCCCACTACCATCCTGTGACTGCACAGTAAGGCTAGGTTTACACTAATGCAGCTGTGATTTGATCCACATTTCAGTGCTACTTGGTTGTGTCTTTGATTCTACAGCGTCTTTTTTTTGGTAGGGAAAGCAGATTGGATGCTGGTTAAGGAGCCTTAACTTGCAAAATGCATCAAAAAGTACTCGCGTTGTTAGTGCATTTTCATTGAAACCTGTGGGGCCAAAATCACAATACAGTTGTACCAAAGGGGCACCAGACCATGTTCCAAAAATACAATGAGCTATGCTGCTTTGATGTGAATGGACACCCTAGAGAATATTGTGATTTCCTGTTGTCATGCGATTCTGCAGGACTCAGGCCGCATCTGAAATTGCACTAGCGTGAATCAGGCCTAAAAGGCGTTGCAGCACCTTTCACTCTGCTCTGTCCACTCCCCATCAGGATGCTCTTTGCACAGCACCACAACTGATTGGCTGCTTGTGCTTCTTCTGCCTCCCGTAGTCTGAGTTCTGCTGTACAGGGGACTGCAAGAGGCTGACACCAACCAAGTTCAGGTACTTGCACTGCTTGCAATTAAAAAAAAAAAAAAAAAACATTTGATGTATTAATGAATATATAGAGCTGCAACAATTTGGTCATATTTGCAGTCACTAGAGACCAAGCCTGTCACTGTAGAATGCAGTTGATTGTGAAATCAAAAGTGCTCAATAAAATAACTGCTTCAGTATAGTTTATAGAAAATTCTAATAAAAACTAGGGGGGGGGCAGCACAATTGATGAACTAAAATGGCTGACATGCAGGGAAACTACCATATTTCTGTGTAATATGTGTACCTTCTTCAGCTCTGTGTATACAAAGGAGCATGGGGGAGCTCTTCTCCATAATGGCCATGGTATTGACACAGCTCCAGATGATCCACATTGGCTCACAACTGATATGATCCAAAAATATTTAGACAGAATAAAGCACTTGGACCGGATGGCATACACCCACGGGTCCTTAAAGAATTGAGCTCTGTTATTTCAAAGCCATTGTTTCTAATTTTTAGGGACTCTTTAATGACTGGCATAGTACCACTGGATTGGTGTAAGGCCAATGTGATGCCAATTTTTAAAAAGGGGTCAAAATCTTTACCAAGTAATTATAGACCTGTTAGTTTAACTTCTATAGTTGGGAAGATACTGGAGAGTTTAATAAAAGACCACATAGATGAGTTCTTGCTGGAAAAATTATTTTAAGTAACAGACAGCATGGATTCATGAAAGACAGAAGTTGTCAAACAAATCTGATTTCTTTTTATGAGGAGGTGAGCAAAACCTTGGACAGAGGGGTGGCGGTGGACGTGGTATACTTGGACAGAGGGGTGGCGGTGGATGTGGTATACTTGGACAGAGGGGTGGCGGTGGACGTGGTATACTTGAGCAGAGGGGTGGCGGTGGACGTGGTATACTTGGACAGAGGGGTGGCGTTGGACGTGGTATACTTGAACAGAGGGGTGGCGGTGGACGTGGTATACTTGGACAGAGGGGGTGGCGTTGGACGTGGTATACTTGGATTTTGCAAAAGCGTTTGACACAGTTCCCCGCACATGGCTACTGTGTAAGGTAAAGTCTATAGGCTTGGAAAAATCTGTATGTAAATGGATAGAAAACTGGCTAAAAGATCGCATTCAGAGAGTAGTGGTTAATGATTCATACTCCTGAATAGTCTAGGATTGTCAGTGGTGTACCCCAAGGTTCAGTGTTATCAGTGGTGTACCCCAAGGTTCAGTGTTATCAGTGGTGTACCCCAAGGTTCAGTGTTGGGACCCTTACTTTTTAATATATTTATAAACGATATAGGGTCTGGGATTAAAAATCCCATTTCAGTCTTTGCAGATGACACCAAGCTGTGCAGTGGAATAACGTCCTTACAGGATGTCTTCAACTTTGGAGTAAAAGAGGTTTGGAGGAAAATAAATGTAATCTCCAAACATGGAAAGGTTTCTTTACAGTAAGAGCTGTGAAAATGTGGAATAGACTCCCTCAAGAGTTGGTTCTGGCCAGCTCAGTGGATTGCCTTAAAAAAGGCCTGGATTCTTTCTTGGATACACAGAATATAACTGGACACTAACATTTATAGGTAAAGCTGATCCAGGGGATTGCCTCTCGGGGGATCAGGAAGGATTTTTTTCCCCTGCAGGAGCAAATTGAATCATGCTTTGCTGGGGTTTTTTTGCCTTCCTCTGGATCAACTGTCGGTGTAGGATTATAACTTTTTTAATGGTTGAACTGGATGGACTTTTGTCTTTTTTTGAGCCAGACTAACTATGTAAGTGACCAGAGTGTACTGAGTGTAGAGAGGTTAGTAATGGTTACGGTAGGGTGGAAAACCCCATTGTATACTTTCTCTATCTTACCTGTCAGATCTGCAGCTCTTGTTTATGCCATATCTTCCATTATGCTTTGACGCAACTGTTTAATTTTTTTTTTTTACTGTGGATTATTGTGACATGTATAAGTGGACATTTAGAACCTGAAAAACTGGTTTTACCATGACTGTAAGGAATAGAACATGGAGAACTACTACAGAATATTTTATTATTGATATAATCAACCAACCATTTTTGTTTAGATCTTCATGTGAACACTCGCCTTGTAAAACAATCCATTACGTTTAAAATAGAAATGAAAGGAAAAACATTTGTGTGTACATATGGCAACAATTATAAATACCCCCCCCCCCCCTTTCTTATAAGTGATCACATATTCTCTGTTGTCAGTTGCATAAGAGCTAGGGGAGGAGAAACGGCATCATACCGATCGTCTGTACCTAGCCTTACAATAATAAGCTTCTAAATGTGGGGTATACTCGGTCAAACAAAGTGCGGTAAACCCATCTGGATTAAGCACCTCTAGACTACAGTGGTTGCAGTTGGGTTGTGGCGGGAAGGGAATGGGGGGATAGTAATCAGGCCAGTCAGTCTATGCATTCTTATGCAGGTCATAATCAAAATTCAATCTCTTCTTCAGGGACCAGCTAAATTTCAATCCATGTATGGGCATTGTGGTTTTACAGAAGTCGATCTCCGATCACCACACTGTCAGATTTTCCTGATTGGTCAGTGCTTCTGGCTATAGCCTGCAATGCTGATCAGTTTATTTTGAAAGCAGGGAAGCCTCCCTGCTCAGTGGGCAGGATTCCCCCATCCTCATTGAATGCGTGTTTTTGCATCCAGATGTTTGGCTAGTTTGGTTAGTTTCTTAACCTATTTGGAAGTTTGTGATGCTTTGCTATGGATGAATTCACTGTTCGATGTTCAGCTGCATCTAGGTGCATTCCGTCTAGTTGCATTTAGTCAGTAATGAGGTGCCTGCAACAGGCTTTCTTTTCCTGCTTCACAGGCCTAAACATGAAAGGTCACAACTGTTTGTGTTCAGGATTGCTCTGCCTGCCCCAGGTGCCTGGGAGCCTTCCCAATGTTTACTACCGGGAGCTTTAATGATGTTTGCAGAGTTTTGTTACATAAGCTGAACACAGGGCATTGCTGGATCTCTGCAGTGAGCATGGGCTGTCATGCACCAACAGGGTCGATTAGCACAGCCGTACATTTCAGTGTGCATTAGCCAGTTCTTGTGTACATGTTGTATATTACAGCTTGCATTTACCGTAAGGACACTTGCAGGTTGTACGCAAATATTTGCCTACCTTTGGGGCAGGTTGGAGAGCAGATTCACTGTGCTAACAGTACTGCTGTGGGAAAGTGGGGGTGATCAGGATTTTCTTTCTCCCTTTTTTCTTTTTTTTTTTTTTAACCATGTTTGCATATACAGCCATGATGGCTATATAAGCAATCATTTCTGGCAATGCATTTATGCAGCCATTGAGAAATAAATTTACAGCTGTTATTGGCCCTGTACCATGTGATTGCTGTGACCAATGACAGCGATCACAGTAGTCATGAATTACAGCAGTCAGACTGCGCCACTGAGAGCACACATGACCGACGGATGCTGGAGAACGTACGGATACATCCACCCACATAGTCTCTGCTCCCTTCTGGCCATAGAGGTACATTGGCTGGACACGAGGCGATTAATAGGGACTACGCAAACCAAAACTTCAGAGCCAGAGTAAGCGGTCAGAAAAATGACTACCAGCGATAATGCATAGTGACACATTTACTAATGATGTGACTAGCTGGAAATATTTGGCAATTGCTATTGGGAATTGTTAACTGAGGTGCAGCAAATCTGTCATGAGATGCAGGGCTTATGTTATAGTTGTTTACCATTCTTTTCACTGTATGTCCTGCAGCTGGAAGAGAAATGTACAACTTTTTTCATGTGTAGCGCTTAGAGGGCGAGGTTGGGCTTGTACCAGGAGCACACTAGCCAGCTCACAGGAACGGTTTTGTTTTTTCCTGTCATCTGTTAATAACTGACTCCCACGTGTTTGCTTCTTGGGTCGACTTGATGACATACTTCCTTATACTGAAAATGATTTTTGCCATATGGTTTCAGCGCACAAATCGATGAAATGCTTTCATCTTATTAAATATTTTTTGGAGAAGATCTCATTTGACAGAGCCACAGATATGAAATGACTGACATGAAAGCCACGTATAACCGCACCACATTGAAAAGCACTTTCTTGGTTAACAGATTGAATTAGAACAGAAACTGAAACAGCTTCTTTTGTAAGCAGATCATTAGGTTCCTAATCATGTGATGCTAATCTCATGAGATCAGTTCAGATTTAATGAAACTGGAATACTTTCTACAGGGTGCTTAGTAGAATTCCCACTGGCCCAGTGAACATGCTTCTACCATTATGTGGCTTGGCAAAACTTGCATATCTTTCTCAAATACAGAGAATTCAGAGTTCCAAAAGACACATTTCACTTCTTTTTTTGTGGCAATAAGTGTGTGTGTGTCTTTTTAAAGCAGAGGCACTGGAGAATAAAATGGGGTGTGTTGCAAATGTTATATTTGTGCAGTAGCAAACACAATGTAATACCCAACTGTGACCAACTACAGTATATTAAATTATCCATAGACAGCGCTTTAATAGCCGTTTCCAGTTTACAATACAAAGAAGTTCTGGCCCTAGAATTTTTGCTCTTGCTTTGACAATCAGTGATATCTTACATGTGTGATCACCATTTACATATGCATGCGGGACCTACGTGCACTGTGCGTTTGCCTTTGTGCATGTGCTGGAGGGGTTGGAGGTGCTTTAAATATTTTTTAAATTAAAACAATTTTTAAAAAATTTTATTTACTTTTTGTATTTATATACTGTGCCTTTAACTTTTTTTTGTCAACTATGTTTTCATCACATAGGATGAACAGCAACCATTGTGATGACATGAGACATGACAGATCTTTTTGGAGAGATCTGGGGTCTATTAGGCCTGGTCCCAATCCAGCGATGTGCCTGAGAGCTGAGGCTCTCCAAGGTCTCTCTCCACTCATTGGCAAAGATACAACAGCAGGAGTCATTAGCTCCCATTAATGTCATACGCAGCCAATAAGGAGGGGGTTGGGCTGATGCATGGTCTCCTTGTCTTAAGCTGCTTTCTCCGGGGGCACTAAGCAGAAGGGAGGGGCTGGGAGCATCGGCGGGGGACCCAAGAATAGGAGGATCCGGGCTGCTGTGTGCAAAACCATTGCACTGAGCAGGTATGTATGATGTGTTTATTATTTTAAAGAAAAAAAAGCCTCTTATAACCACTTTAGGCGTTCACCAGAACTGTAACATTTTGTAGAAGTGAATGAGGCCTTAGATACATCCAGCCAATAGGATTACACATCACCCATAGTTCAGTTAGATACGCAATTGTTTTCAAGGGGGCAAGGCAAGGATTGCAAAGGATTTGCAAAAGCGATTTTTACTAGCTGCAGTAAACTGAAAGCTCACTGGCTGTTATGGATTACTGGACTTTGCACATCATTATTGTCCTTTGCACCCTCTTATATTATCAGTTTTAAATCATTGAACACTTGATAAAGCTATGTCCTTCAATTTAATGTAAGCATTATGTGTTGGTGTTGGAGAAAGGCTGAGTATCTTCTAGCAGGGATCCTCAATTGTAAGGTGGGGTGAAGCTTTCAACACACGTTTCTAATGCGCGTGTGAAAATAAAATGAAAGCTGTCTGGTGCAGGCATGTGTTTTTGAAGAGCAGTTCCCCCCCCCCCCCCCCGAATAAGTAATAACTGACCATCTCTGTTCAATTGTTTAATCTTGTACTGTAATTTTAGGTCAGTTTTGTTATTCTTGAGGCTTAGACAGTAAAACCTAGAATAATTGCTATTGTGACACATTCTAGGTTATGCAGAGACTGCTGTTCTAGTTACATTACCCAGGAGACTAGTATGTAGTATTGCTTCAAGCATTTTAAAGTGTATCTGAGACTTTGTAATGTGAGAATCATCCAAAGGGCCGTTGCACTGTTTAGTTTGTACAGTTGGTACCACTGATACAGTGGTAGTAAAGTGGTAGGGAATTTTGTATCTTATTTTTTTTAAATTTATTGGCTGATCACATTTACGACTTAAAGATGTAAATGGCTGCATCTTTTATTAAGTTTCAATACTATAATTTTTGTAAAAGGTGGTTGTAAACCTCTGATACTAAAAAAATGAACAAGATATTTCCTTCTAT